CGAGACACACATGTAAGGACGGGATCAACAAAGAGATAAGATCCACCGCGATGTCAGCAGGGGCCGCCACATAAACATAACAAAGACACTCGGATACTTTATAAAGTAGTCATGGTTTTAACAATTTTGTAGAGATAGTACAAGAGATACACAACAGTACTTTCCATAGTAATAACTTTTAACCAACTTAATATGATCACTGTCTAGGTTCAAAACGACTTCCACACATAAATGATGATCAACTTCTTTTAAAAAGAGGTCATAGAATGTCATAGAGGTGTTGAATGAGGAGGACCTGGATATCAAAAATCCCCTGAATTGTAATGTTTTAGACACTGGGCTGTAATTTAACAAAGACATGGATTAAAAAGCAATAGCAAAAAGGGTTTTCATACAGATTGTTTCTGCCAGGTAGCATTACCTACTGTATTTTGTAAAACTTAATACAGGGGAATCAATCAAAGTAGACTTCCACTGTCAACAGTCAAACTGACATGACAGAACTTAACGTTACACAGATGTTTTTTGATCTCTGGTTCTGCCTCAGAAGATTACTTTTTTTTTTAGGATCCTGGGTTCAGTCCTGGGGCCTTTTAAAGGTAAGGTGATAGTTGAACACCCTGTTCTCTTAGATGAGCAGTCTCATCCTGAGGCTAGTGCACCATGCAAAACATCAGCTGAGAGTTTGACACACCACAATCGCCTATCCCTTCATCCATACTGTGACGAATGACAGGAAATCAGATGGTGGCCATGACAGGCAGATTATGAGATCCCTCTGTCTACATGACTTAGCTCTGTCTCTGCTTCTTAATCGTTAAATGTGATTTAAGCAAACAAACGCAGCATTATTAGATTAGTCAGAAGGACATGGAGTCTTTGCTGCTGATTATCTTTCCCTTTTTAATGAAATGCTGCTTGAAATTAACATTGCTTTCGCTAATTTGATTTAGCATTGCCCGGAGAAGTACCAGACAGCTCTCATTTGCCTGCAGTCAGTTTGAGATCGTTGTCAGGGGCTTGATATCAAATGTTGGTGGAAGGCAAACATTTCCATTCCTCTGCAAAGTTCACAGGAGTAGATTGAGTCACTGTTTCGACACTAGATGGCTTTAGGTGAGACCAGAGAGAGATGAGTGACAGACTAAAGCACACTTAGATTAGTGAATAGTAAAAGAACATAACATGCATAATTTAATAAACATGAAACTTAATGAAATCTTAAAGTCACTGTCATGGTGAAATGAATATTGCAGTAGCCACTTCAGTGGACACTCCACAATGCTAGTGGTCAGAAAGCTGTTGTATGCTTGAATTAAAGAGGGTTAGCGTTTGCCTGAACAGCATGTGTGTGTGTCTGTAATTGGCTGCGGGTGTTGCATTGTTGTTGAAAATAATCCTGTCAGCATAATCCTCCTTTGTGAGGTTCATTAATTGCATTTAAGATGGGATGCAATCTAGTTGATTCAGGCCCAGCATTTGAGCCTTCCTCGCTTTTTCCTGCACAAAGCCCCTGTCACTTCAAAGGCTAAAGGGTCGGGGAAAGGCTTTTTTTTGTCTTTTTTTTCAGATTTTCATTAAAATGTACATTGCTTTTTCAACCCTTTAACCAATAAGAGTGCGGCTGTGCTGTGTATATAGTGGCAAAATGAATTAAACAGCTAGCCATCTTCAGAGTGCAGCTGCTACTTGCCACATGTTCTCCTGTTGTTGAGCTAAGGGCAATAATGATTCATTTTCATTTCCAACATTTGAACTTTTTGTATTTCACATTTTATATCTCAACAAAATACTCAATCTTTTCTCAAAAGTCTGCTTTCACTCACTGAAAATATATTCTGGTTGTGTTAAAGGATACATGACAAACTGTGAGGTGTGCGCCAAATAGAAACCATATGAATCCTAACACACCACCACCTTGATGCATACAATTAGATATTCAAGGTCTCTTAAATATCCTATTTTTTTGTTGAGGTATGCTTTTGAACATTGGTCACCACCAGTAAAGTCCTACATAGAGAAAGATCAGGAATTTTTAAGCACCCAAGCAGCTCAGTGTGTTACAGAAACATACAGCCTTGCTGCTGCTTTCCATTTTTATTTTCCTGAATGAAACTTTAGGAAATCCATTTAGGATGGCCTTTGCAGCTTTGGCTGTCAGAGATACAGCCGCTTAAAACCAGAGGTCACCTCCACACTTGTTTAATAGCCATTCAAAGTACCAAAGTGAATGTGTTTTTGCCCTGACTGGCAATAAATACTCATGGATGGGCTGGGTTTATCTTTTCCTAGTGTTTTAAAGGGATACTTTCTTTTTAAAGGACTATAATGCATGAAAACATAATCAAATACCCATCCTATGGGCTTTTGAACATTGGTCTTGATCACTTCTTAATAATTCATTTTAATTCCAAGTAGTCACAATGGACTCCAATGAGCCAACATTCGTGCAATGTCTCACTGCAGCACTGCCTATGAGTATTATCTATCTTTTGTTGCAATGACCTCTGTCACAGATAACTAGGTATGTGTTCATTGGTTTTAAGTGACACAGATAAACTCAACGTTGATCAGCCCTTCTTAACGCTATGCCCCTGCAAACTCGGACTGACCAAGTGTACTCTGGTAGTTTCTACTCAAATGGGTATTTTAGAGCACGCCAAGAAAGAAAACAAGAGATGTGGAATGCTATGGAGATGCTCTAAAACTGGTTCTCAACTGGTCCAGCCTCAGGACCCACCACCACGTCATTAATGACAAAAGGTGAAAAACAAATTTAACATGTTTTAAAACAATTTTTTACCGAGCACACATTCACAACCCACTGAAAACGATTTTGCAACCCAATTTTGGGACCCAATCCACCAGTTGAGAACCACTGCTCTAAAGGGACTGTTGCAGGAGAACAGGACATCAGTACAAACTAATAGAACTCAAATTACTGCCCATGCTGCAGACTGTTGCACTCCAGATTCCCATGTGGTGCTTAAAAAACTGATAATCCTCACAGGTGTATGTACATCAATCTAGGGTTAGCAGATACAGTATGTTGTTTTTTTTATTTAAAATGATGGGGCGTAAAAGGAAAGTACTGTGCAAAAGCTATATTTCTCTGCCAGGTATAAATCAAATACCCATTGCTTTAGAATTGTCTGCCTGTGTTATACATTAGTTGTTTCAGGCACATGTTTATAGTTTGTCCTGTCATTTTTGGTTTGGCATATGTCACACACAACCATCTGGTTGTTGAGCATTTTTGCAGACAATTTGTTTTGTCCTTTAAGCTTAACTTAATTTTGGTCTTTCAAGCATGTCAGTCCCTTTCTTCCATGTTTTTCTCTGGCCAGTGGCAGGAGGTAAATTGTCATGCATTGCACGTTGAACTCAGAGTATGTTGCTATGGTGGTTGCTAGGGATTTAGCCTAGAGTGACGTCCAAATATTAAAGGTGTCCTGATGCAGAGGCAATGGAAGCTGCGAAGAATGAGTAATCGCTTCAGAGAGAGGGGCTTTTTGTGTGCCCTTTCATTATCATGCTTTTTTTTAAATCTCAGAATTGATTTTCAAAACAAGAAAAAGACTGCACAGGCTAAAGCAAAGGGAGAAAACATTGCCATTGCATACATGCTCATTGATTCATTACTTGTACCAAACATTCTCTGCATCTTCCTAATGGTAAACACTGTTTTATATAGAAGACCAAAAGATAAAAGAAAGTAATATTTGATGTTACCAACGACTAAGATGCAGTTCTCACTAACTCTTTTATACTCTATCTTCTAAACATGGCAACTCGAAGGGAAATATGAAAACATAATTGTCTAATTTGCACTCTCTAACCTTTTTAACTCTAAAAAATAAAAGTGTTTTTCTTTTTTCATTTGATGGACATTCAGAAGGCTTTGAAGATCACTTATCGAACAATCAATTAAATATGCTATGGCACATATGATCTGTTATATGTCTGAATATTCTCACAATACTGAACATGTAGTGTCTCAGAAGAAAGACTTGTTGTAGTGGTGTAGTCGTAGTGTAGTTAGTTACTGTTATCTAGCAGGTTGTTGGAAGAACTTTAAAGATGCACATCAGTTTTATACAAAATTTCAAGATTGGAAGCAAAGCATGTAGATTAGACAAGTCGACAACTTGTATTGACTGAAATTCAGTTTGAAGTCTTTGGGGCCAGCTAGCTGTTGGTTAATAAACATTTCCAGTAAGTCAGCTTGTAGTTTTAAAAGCTTTCACATTCAGTGTTACATTAAGTGCAATACTGCAGCAGAAAGTTTGTGTTTGAAGCTCAACGAAGGCAGCTCTCTTCACCTCCTAACTTCTACAGCTCATTTGAACTTAATGACACCGCAGGTATTAAACACAATTTCTTTTCAGGCTGTTCCCTGACTTAAATCTTTCTGATTATCCTGCAAATTGGAAACAAAAAGCTCATAGAAATTGTCATTGATGCTTTGCGAAGACTGTTTGCTTTCAATAATAGCTTTGATTTGATGTTTGCATTCTCTTAAGTGCTGTTCCTTCTGTCAGTGACTGCTTCAAATGAAGGCGTATTAGGCATGTGGCAATCAATAATGTCTTAAATGAAAAATGTCCAGTGCCTAACTCAAGAGCTCAGGGCCTGAGCAGGGAAAGACCTGCCCTCCCCTTCCTTCAACTTCCCCTCGTACTGACTTTCCCTGTCTTGCAGTCCACAGCTGTAGCAGCCATAACACGACCTCAGGCAGGCTAGTTAGCCCTGAAAAAAGAACCTGAACCCCCGATCAATAACTTTAGTTTTGTCTGCCTAATTGCTCATTGGTTGACGTTGGCGCCAGACTATATGTAAGTGCATGTCCCCCCGAGTGATTGACTTGAGTTGTATTTCCACCACTTCCCACCAAGTGTATGGCTTACGGTCTGCCCCTCTCTCTTTTTTTCCTGTCCTCGTCTCTGTTCACCCGTATTCGCAATGGAAAAAAAAACCTGACCTGATCGGCTTCTCCTCAGTTATCTCTGTGGGATCAGACCATCCAAAGACTCTCATCAAGATGCGTTGCTCCCTCTCCAGGCCCCGCGACTCTCAGACTGCTCAGGTAAATATCCGGGTTTAATGACGAACGGAAAGATTAGCCAGTAACTCTCGCTCGCTATTTCGATGAGCGCCAGGAAATTATACGGGCTCTTTTGGGGGTTTTCTGCTTATTATATGATCTAATGCAGAAGCACTTTATGAGCATGGACCAGGGTATGGCGAGGGCAGTATTGATTGTGCTCATTGTGAATTATGTGAATAGATAAAAGTGTGAGTGTGCATATATATTAGGCAATTATGCGCTCAGGTGCTAATGTAAAAATTTTGCTGAATAAATATGAAATATGCCTCTATCAGCATCCAACATGTGTCCCCCTCGACTCTGGTCATTTGAGATGATAATTGGGATTGTGTGTTTGCCTTTTTCTGATGAGACGAGATATTGTGATAGCTCTCCTCAGCCCGGATTTAAATGTGTATTGATCAGTGTGAGGCTCAGGAGCTCAAACCAAAACAGCACAGCCCCCTCACACTTACTTGCTTATATATATTTCTTTGTTTTTTTTCCCCCATTAAATTTTGAAGTTATCTTACAATCTTCTGACATTTAACATCAGTTACTGTGTCACTAAACATAAGAAGGTCTTCTGTATTTGTTCTCGCCCTCTTTTCCCCAGTAGAAGTGTGCTAATGTCATGATTTAAATGAAGTATTGATCAGTTTAGGAGGGGAGAATAGAGAGAGAGGGAGCGATTGTGAGGGAAAGAAAGCAAGACCAGGGTTATCGGTGTGGATCGCATACAGAAAGAGAGAGCTAACGGATGAGACACGTTTTTAGCGATTCCGTGAAATGGATTTCTGCATAATCTGTATTTTTAATTCAGGAATTACCACCGGACTCTTTAATTTGATTTATTCCAAGGGGGAAAAAATGGACACGAAGAAAAATCAGTGCAATGGATATAGATGTCTTTTTCATTGTTGGGTTTTGTTAATGTCAGGGAGTATTTGCCAGTCTGTTTGCAGATGGTAAAAAAAAAAAGGTTTGTCCTGGTTCCTATCTGGGTTTCCATCTTGTCTGCCTTCGGTTTCTTCTATGACAACAACAACGCTGCTACTGCATCAAGCGCTCTGGACTAAAGCCTCCATCCAAGTGATCCAGCAGCTAGGTCTGTTTGTCTTCCTCTTACTGTCCTCCCTTCTTCTTTCCCAAGCTCCATCCTCTTTCTCTCTCCCTCACTGTCTTTTGCTCGCTCTCTCTCTCTCTCTCTCTCACCCCCTCTATCCCTTCTCCGCCTGTGATTTAGCACGGCAAGGTTGTATTAATTAATGCCGTGGCTATTATTGTCTTTCACTCACTGGGCAGCCAACAGTCTGTGGTCTGTTATAAACCAACTTTAAGTTCTACCATCTACTTGTTGTCAAAGCGTATTCCATTGCCACAACTCTTCATTATTTCATGAAATGTTATTGTCTAACTTGTAGTTGTGTTAACTAGTTATTTATTGTTCATTACATTACATATGTGCTTAAATAGTGAAATAGTCTTTTTTCAATTTATATAAAATAATAACTTGTTTTGATTGTAATGGAGATTTTTTTTAGACTAATTCATAAATATGAACTTTTAAATTCTTGCTGATTTTAAAACCAACATTATTACGTCTACCTTGTTGAATTTTCTACTCCGCATTGGTACTGATCATCTAGTATGTCTTACAATAAAAGCTGCAGACAAGTGTTCAAAAAGTGTTTTTTCATTTCATTGTGCAAATGTAAAGCATTTGTTTTCAATAATACTAGTAATTGAGTTTTGTTTGAAGAGAATTCAGCAATTTGCAGTCCTCTTCACACAGAATAAGTTTACAAAGGTGGGTATAAGGCCTGCCTTTAACTAGACAGGAGCCAGAATGGTTTATTTTCTTAGATTCTGCTTAGAAGAATTGGGAACCATGGTAGGTCTCAGCCTCAGCTACAGAGTGAGCAGGTTGGCTGCGCAGAGAGGATAGGCTCTGTGTACTGGATTGATTTTTCTCCTACTCTTGCTGCCCTGCCTCCTTTTGTGGTTCAATAGCTGGACATCCAGAGGCAAGGATCTCTCAGTCGCTGCCTGAACTACAGGAGAGGCGTCTGGATCTCTAAAGGAACAGAATCACATGCAGCAGAACCAAAAGCAGCTTTAAAGCCCGATGCAGCAGGCCCCTGGAGCTCCAGAGTCAGGTACAGTGCTTACTGCCAGGCCCACATTTTATGCACCAGGCCTCAGACGCATCCTGCTTCATGTGTCCATCCCAAACAGTGCATTTTGAGAGTACAGCATTTCAGCTCAAAAGGCACATTGGAACATTTTCGTTTCAGCATTGCTTCATATTGACAAAATGTGATTTGTCATTCTAAAGTCACAACGTGTTTATATGTATATGTATAGTCAGCTGATATAAGATGCAAAACTAATGGCATTTGCTATGTTTTTGACTGATGTTGCACGGAATGAAAATAACTGTATGTTACAGACAGGTTGGCAAGAATGTGTATCCAGTGCAAAAGGAGTCAACAGACAAACATGTTCGCGATGACAAACAGGCTCTGACTCACAGTGACGGCAAAACCAACCCAGGATTCTGATGATTGATGAATGGTGTTTTCAACATGTATTGAAAAAAAAGGAAAATGCTGCCTGCTACCTTCCCCTCGAAAAAAAAACACTGACCAATCTGAATCCCTCACTGTGTTGATTGATGGTGTCTGTGTCACCTGTTGCTAGGCCTCTGGGCAGACTCTGAGTCTTTCTGTTCAATCAGAGCCTGTGGTGTCATATCAGTGGCACTCTCTCTGTATTGTTGACTGGAACATTTATGTGGCTTTCTTAGGTGCTCTGCAAATCATTGCTTATTTTGACTTTCTCCCCCACCGCTCTGTTTGACATTATTAACGGGAATCTCCCACCACTTCTACTGACTTTGTACCCACTCTGATTCTTATTCAAACCTTGCGGGGAGCTGCTGAATATAAATTGTTTGTGGGCTTAATTTCCGTTTGTTACCCTGTGGAGATTTTGTCATAGAGTAGCACTGGTGAGAAACATGACGGTGAAATATTTACCATAGTGTGTAGGTTGTGTTTAATAGTGAGGCATATGTACTGAACAAGCATGAGCTTATGTGATAAACATTCTACAGACTGCAAATGGTCACAACAGGAAGCGGAGGGTCATTTTGTCGTGTGGAATAAAAAAACTTCAACTTCAACATCAGCCTTTGATGTTCAATATCCAATATAGATAGCAAACATATGTTTGGATAAAACATTATTAAGCTTATGTGATTCAAAATGTACTTTTATAGTGCCATCATTCACATTTTAAACACTATTGCAGCAGTGAGAGATGTTTCCTTCCCTGACTCTCAAGTGGTAAGGCATTAGCAGAATGCAAATCAACCATAAACTTGGGAAAGAGTTCAAAGGTCTTGTTTATTTCCGGGGATTTTTGACGACAGGTCACAGTGGTCTGTGGTTTGGTCTATGTATTCTGTAATGGCAGGATTTCCATTCACAGCATTTATGTATTTACTGTGGCCACTCAGTGACGATCATAGGCTAGGTGGATTTCCAGTGCTTGTTCAGTTGAGTGCCTCCATGCAAATCCTGATTGTTGCTTGTCATGTCTTCTGCTGTCAGATAGCAGCTTGTCTGATGTTTCAGCACAGAAATCCCACAACCCACCATTCATGATTTTGCACTTGTAGCCTATGCTCAATATCAAGACTTTCTGAGAAAACATGTTAGCTACATAATATTTCCTACTGGAACGACTTACTTTAAAAAGAACAGGTAGTGAAAAATACCTGTATTATATTTCCAAAAGCACTTCCTCTCAAAGTCATTGTCCTTTACCTTAGTTTAGTTTCTAACAGGCCCACAAAACTTTGGCCTGTAATAGCATGTTTTTTTGTTTTTTTATGATCATCTTCAGTGCATACATGAAGGCATTTCAACCAACTACATTTGGTGCCTGTTTGGTGTTTCATGTCACGATCAGATCAGATGTCTAAGCTGAAATACTTAAAGCTCCTGTGAGGAGTTTTTAGCTGGTTATGAAACAGACTGAAATTAATACATGGTGTTTCTCTATGAACTACAAAATCAAGACCTTCAGGGACCAGATGGATTTTATTGTATTGCTATTATTCATGTCTGAAATGGCTGCAGCAGGATAGGTGGCAACTGTAGACTGCTGAAAGACTTGTTTTGTATTTTTCACAACAAACATTCTTGATAAGTGATACATTTTTTTTTTTTGTTGGAACGCTATACATGAACATAAACGAATCAGCAAAGAAGATGTCTCGCTGTGTTCACAGGGTTGTAGAAATAAACACAAATCATTTCTTCCCCACAGGAGCTTTATAGCTTTTAATCACCCACTGAGGACACTAAATATATCAAAAATCATGTTTTAATGTTAACTTGTACTTAGTTTTGTATATACTGTATATATAATATATGTAATGTGATATGCCTTGATAGAGTGTCATCTCCATCTCTCTGCCTTCTGTTCTTCATTTAGTTAACAGCGTCAGGTACAGATGGAGTAAAGTAAGGGTGAATTCACACCTTAGCCTTTTTCTCCGTTTGAAACATACTCTGGTGTGCTTTGTAGGATAGATTGTTTGGTTTGAGGTGGTGTGAACACTTAAACAAACTCTGGTGCAGACCAAAGAACCAAACTCTGATCCGTTTAAAAACAGGGATCTCGATTCACTTCCAAGTGCACCTGAGTTTGGTTCTCCTTAGGTCAGAACACATTCCAGACCAAACATGGGAAGTGAACCAAAATACAGGTCATTGTAGGTTGAATTTGTCCATCTGTAAAAGTTTTGCTGAGCATGGCAAACGTTAGCATTGCTAACGACACCAACCTTCAGTCTACCTTGCAGGTTAATGTGTTGATGCCTGTGTGTTACACATCTCTTCAGGCGATATGTCAGTTTAATCTGACACAGCCGACATATAACTTTAAATCCATTTTATAAATGAAAATAATGTCAAACAGCGCCACACTACGGGATGCCATTCTTCCACTGTCTTGTTTACTTTTAGGTTGTAGTGCAGGTTGGATGACAGCAGCTACTGACCGGAGCTCGAGCTGCATTCAGGTGATCCTCGGAGGTTCACAGTTTCCGAGTTGGAAAGTCATTCATCTGACTTCAGTGTGTTCATGTGTTTTCAGTTCGAAAAGTCTGAATGTTATAACAACAACAACAACAAACAGCGTGGGTCCTATGAAGATGATGTGTGTAATGTCTCTGTTACAAGTTATACTTGAGCAAAACGTTGATGTGAAATAGGCTATGTGAATTAGCCTATTAAAAAGTATCTGAAAATTAACAAATCATATTTTTTCCCCTATTTTGATGGCAAATATGTCGGCAATTCAGGCACCTAATTCTTTCCCCAATTTTTGTTCCGACTTGAGCAGGCGTTTCTGTATATTTTCAAACTTGGAAACTCGTTTTTTAAGATGTATCCTACACCACTTGAATTCAGCCCCAACTGACGCGTGGCTACGGTACACAACATTTGACAGGCTTTGGTGCGCTTGACAAAGTGCAAACTGAAAGCAAACCGAACCAAATGACAAATGCAACAATGTTGCAACTTCACCCCTGAATCGCACCGAGTCCACAAAACTTAATATGTGAAAGCGATCTAAATTGGTGTGGAGATCTCAAGTCAGCTTAACTTAAACAATTCATCAGCCATGCATTCTGACCAACACACATTAACACATGACCAACCTAAACTCACATTTCAAGGGATACAAAGATACTTAAAGCAACAAAAAAATTAAACCCAGATGATAGTTTGATACAACATTAGAAATTCGGTCATACATGTAATGAAACTTTTTCCATGGAGATAGAGATAAAGATATGGATCTTCCCTCACTCTGGGTCAATCACTGTGAAGTTTCATCACAAAACTCTCATAGCTTACTTTCTGTTAGACATTAACCAGTGAATATTTTGTTCTTCATAGATTTGTTTTAAAGGAATAGTTTTCAGAAAAAAACAGAGTCACTGCATCTGTACTAGAAATAGTCCAGCAAATGATTCTAATGGAAACCTCACATTTTAGTTTTTACTTAAAATTTAAATTTAAAAAAAAAGAAGAAAAGAGAAAAAAAAAATCCAAGGCAGTCTCTAGCCATTTTCACATATGCACTCCTGTAACTCTCTAGAACATTTCAGGAGGACTGCTTGGACTTTCTGGGGGAAGGCACTAGAGGGCTGGCAGGAGATACATAGTAGCTCCTCCTGAAAAAGGAGTTCAGGAGTTTTGTGCAAGTGTGAAAGCATTATTTTAAACAAATTGAATGCCTTCATTTTGGGCACGTGGACCTTAAAAACACACTTTGATATGTTTCAGCATCAGGACTTCATCAGGAAGTCAAACAGATTGAAAAAAAAGGAAAACACAGAGGAATTTATAGTGATGTTCAACCAGTTGGAAGTTTCCACTTGGAATCGTTGCCTGCAGAGGATGTGTATACCTACAAACTCCAGGAGTTGGCGTTATTAGGTCCATTGTATGTAAATATACCCCTTCCTACATTGATTACATAAAATGTCTACACCGATGACAAAAAAGGGACTAAAAACAGCTTGACAAGAGCAAGTCATGACCCTGATTATCAGAGAGTCAACACAACCAACTCTTTAATCCCGCTCAACAAATCTTTACAAGAACAAGGTTAAGGCCAGGGTGTTTAGTGGCCTGTAATTCATAAATTCAAAAAGTTCAGTTTTCCTGTCTGTCATCTTTTCTTAGGGAATATGGGATGTGGTCAATACCAGTTGTTCTCAACTGGTCCATCCTGAGGACCCACCACCAATTCCTTGATGAGATATCTTGACCCGATATTAAACTATTCTGATTTAATTAATCAAACATTGTGCAGTTTGGACCTCAGATGATACAAAAATTTGACAGAACGAAGAAACAGAACAAAACAAACATGTTTAAGAAGTGCCTCATAGACTTTCTGATACCATTGCTTTGCAAGGTACACATTCAGGACCCACTGAAAATTGTTCCACCAGTTGATAACCATTGGTCTATACCAAAGGCTTATAATTGGCATAGGTTAGTTCTCATTACCAGTTTGGATGGCATATTTGTGTTCTGATAGTCTGTCCTGATGTTACCACATTAATTACATTAGAAATGTTCCTTGTAGGGTCCAGCACTGATGGGATGGCCTGGACTCTCAGCTGTGGTAAAGACCATCCCGGTTTATAAAGTGCCCGGCTAGGACACATAGGACACCAGAAGAAGGGTGAGACAACCACAGCATGTCTGATACAATGTTTGCTAACACACTTTTTTTTTAAGTATTGAAAGGATTCATTATTAGAACAACTCAAAATTCTCGAATTGATATCCAAAATATTGATGACTTTTGTGTGATCTGATAAAAAAATGGGACTAAATTGATTTTTGACATTTACTTCAGCTGTGTTGCATATTGAACATGAGTGACTTCCTCAGTGTTAAATCTAAGTATTTAGAAGTATGTAGGTAACAATGTTGCTTCAAAATGTACATACCTGTATATTTGCGATTTACTTGCCAGTCTGCAGGCCATTAAAGACCCACTTTGGTTGTTGTGGTTCTTAGATCTCAATAGGACTAATCTGACTAAATAAAAATAAATAAATAAATAAATCAACAAAGATGCATGTGCCTTGATGACAGTAAACCATAGAGCTCTTTCTTTATGTTTTCATACAAATGTGCATGTAAGTGTGTGTGCAGGTGTGTGTGTGTGCGTCTGCGTGCGTGTGTTTGTGCGTGTGTGTGTGTGTGTGTTGACACGTGGGTTTCTGTTATTTGTCTCCTCTGTCTCTGTGTCACCTTTGTTGACTTTGTCTCTCTCTTTCTGCAACGCTGCTCTCTCTCCGCTTTAATGACGCATATATCCTATCTCCAGTCACTGCCTAATCCCAGCAGCGCTGGCTCAGGAACAGATTACTGCTTCCAGACACCAGAGGAGAGAGGAGCAGAGTAGGGTGGGGGTTGGGGGTTGGGGGGAGAAAGAGATGCCTCGGTGATACAATATAGAGAAACATTGAGGCGGGGGGGCAGCACATGCATGTAAATGACCAAACAGCAGCATATTGTCAACATATTTACATCTAGAGGATTTTTCCATTGAATTCAACAACTACATCTTCCCCTTCTTTTATGACTGATGCTTTTGTCCACATTTAGTTTAAATAAACATGAGCTCTGACTTTTTAAGAAATGCTTTTTGCCTCCACAATGGAATGTGCAGTGAAAAAAGTTACACCTTCTGCAGGACAATTAATATGAAATATGAAGTGGCAAGATATAGGTTACAGATTGATTTTCTTCCATCTCTTCAATCCAGTCTGAAGAGAAGGTCCTTCTGCTTCATGCAGAGTTGTACAAAACGGCTGCTTCAATCTGCAGGTACAATGCTTCCAACTGCTCAGCCCTCAGCCAACAGAACCTCACAGTGTTTTTTTTTTTTTAAAGTAGAGCACTCTACATAGCAGATCAATAAAGTCTTGTGTTATTGTTTCATTTTGTTCACATTATTATTCCCTTTGAAGGATCCATTTTTTTCATATTTAATCCCAGCTAGGCTTCTCCCAGAAAAACTCTGGACTGTTTTGATTTTCTTTTTTTTCAAAACACAGTAAACATGTTATGTGTAGTCAGCTCCTACTTAGTCAATTATGTGCTTCCTTTTACAAACAGTTTTGAGGGTTATTCTGGAAACAGCATGAAAGTATGGGCATAATGGAAGCATAAAGTGTTGGTAAGCATGTCTTCTTCTAAACATGGTTATCATGTGGTCAATTAGAGCTTCTTGCACTCCCAGGTGTAAGTAATTGGGAATTGGAATCAGCTGGAGTGGTGTTGTCTGTCCAGCGGCGGCTGTCATCACACCAGCTGCCCACCCAGTACATGACTTTTAGGACCAAATGATTGCTAATAAAACATTTGATTGAGAGGAGGAAAGAGTGAGGACCATAAACAGGCTGGATTCTGCCCTTTAATTTCCCCATCTACAGAGAATTGCTTTTGCTGTGCTGCAGAGTTGGTCCCACACACAAGCAGTTTAGTTGTCTGCCCAAGGACTGAAATTTAATTTAGCCTGTGTGCTGTGAGCGTGGTGTGTGTGTGTGTGTGTGTGTGTGTGTGTGTGCATGTGCATGCATCTGTCAGTCCTCCTGTCTTTGTTTGTGCCTGTGTGTCTGTCTGTATGAGTCAGTTTGAAATCCCTTTGTGAGCAAAACCTAGCTTTGCATGAACTGCATATGTAAGAGTTTATGCTACAGTGGTTGAGTGTGCATGCTGTATTTTGTACTTTCCTATTCTCTCATGACGAAATGGTTTTACACTGCCTGGTTGTTCTAGTAAATTTTACACAGTGGTTGTGCTGTGCATTTATTTGCTTTGTACCATGCTCTTTTGTTTATATGATTTGAATGCTTTCTTGTGTAGTTTTGCAATTGATATGTTATCACTGTGTTAACCTGTAAACTTACAAAAATGTCCCTGGTGCTGTAAGCATCGTGTGTTTGTTGTGGAACACTTCTTGGCTGTAATTTTCTGTTGCTTGTATGCTGATTGCATGTTCAAAAAAGTATAGCCTCCAAAATGTTGAATATTGGTTTCAGTGTGGAAAGCTGTAATGACATTTTTTTTTGTGTATGTGTGTTTATGGTGCTGGTTCCTGATGAAAGCTGGGTGCAGGCGCATATATCAGAGCTCCAGCACTAATAAAAGGCCAGCAAGCTGTGCTCCTCTCCTTCAGGGAACAGCACCGCTTTTTACTGCTTCTCTGACAGCAAGATAAAGTGCCCTTCCAATTAGAAAAATATTTGGCCACATACCTACCAACAGCAATCCAGACTTTTTTTTCTTCATGCCAATTGATCAGAAATCCTTGCTATTTTTACAATATGTTTTTTTTTTATCATCATATCCTGTGTATGCATGATAGCAATGCACCCCACTGCTGCACCATATTCCTTTATAATTAAATAACTGTGTGTTTTTTCTTTTAGTGTCTCTCTCCTAATTTGGTCTTCCTTTTTAAAAGGTGGATATGTGTACAGATGTGCTTTGGTTTGGGAGTGAGAAAGATTTTTTTTTTTGTTGCATGAGAGTCATGCTGCTGTGTGTGTTTGGGTTGATATCATTCTTTGTTATTCTTGTCATATGTCCATGCCTCATACAGAGAGATGTGTGCATATATGCCTAACTGCTAATGCTGGTCCATATCTCTGTGTAAGAATATTGTAGATGTTTTTTCCCCCCTTTTTTTCCAGAGAGTGCATTAAAATTAAATTCTCTCTTGTTGTTTTGAAAAGAGGCACACGTAAAAAATAATTGGCTGTAGGAGAGAACAAAGGGCTGGCTCCTCTCTCCTCCCTGCGCACCCCAGCCAGGCATTAATATCAAGCCTGCTGCATTGTTCTGCCGTCTGCAGCCATCCCCCTAGCCAGACACTCAGCTCTGGAGAAGTCACTTTTAATGTCTGATAATCAAGGTGAATTTTCAAAAAGCTGCCATTTTCAAATGATGGTGTATATATTATGTGCAGATGGGGGCTCAGGAATAGAGGAGCTCTACTTGGTGAGAGAAAGCTTCAGCCATACAAAGTGAAAGAGAGACACCTAATGGCAAGAGGGGGAACTGCATGCTGATGGTAGCCCTGTTCAGAATTCTGTGAAGGACATAAGCCAGCTGGAATAACAGTTTCATTGCTTGGGTATGTCTGATCATTTATTTTGTTTCTGATAAACAGGCTCTTTGTTGATTTCATGATATCCGGAACCTGACGTCCTACTTTAATGTATCCAGTCCAATATTTCAGTATTTTTAACTGTCTCCTATTGCTGAGGGATGTAAGGGGAACATATTTCTGGTTCTGCTGTTGCACCTTTCTGAAGGGAGTTCTTGTGCAGCGTTATTGGGGAATCAGGCACCCAGCAGCAGAGCAGTGGAGCTCCATTTCCCTGCTACAGGGCACAGACTCATCTTCCTCTTGCTCCTCCCACCTTCCCTCATCCCCCACCCAAGTATGATTATTTCTCCTCCGCTCCACCGCACCATTATATTCCAGGTCTGCAGTTACCCCTCCCTGCTGTCATTTTTCATGGCATGTTTTTTGCCCGTGTGCAGCACTGCACATTTGCACTGTGCCTGTGCAATATGTTAAGGAGGTGAATCTATGCAGTGTGCAGAATGTAATAAGTATATTTATTTTCTCTGCTGGTGATTTACTGGTTTTTCTGGTGCTTGAGAAAAAAGGCCAGCTCTTGCTATGTATCTTAACAAACATGACTGCTGTGTATGCACCCGCCTCTAAGGCGTTTTACTCGCAGGGGAAACAAAATTATACATCTGAGTCAGACTGGTTGTTTTACGTGCTATGACTGTTAAAAACCTGGTTGTTATTTTGGAGTATACCTTGCTAACACCATTTGGGTGAAATAAAGATGTGGCTGTATATGTGGCATTAGCTTTATTCTAAGGAAGACAATTGTAGATACCGTTTTTTAATGATAGCAGTATTGATGATCAACTTGTTATCAGGCAGAATGACTCATTCTGTAGTTTGTACTACTACAGTTCTACACTAAATAACTGACAACAAGCCAGGCAGACAGACATCGACAGCACACGTTATTGACTGTCTGCCAGTCTAGACTGCGCCTAGTAGATCTGCAAAAACCCAAGCATGATAATGGTTTCCAAATCACAACCAAATACGCAACACACACAGGGGGCTGAAATTGGCATAATACTCAGAGGGGATGTAGATCTAACCCTGTGAAACAGTAGGATTTAAATAGATGGTGTGCTGGGAGCAGCACGGTGCACAAGTCTCCCTCTGTGAGACTGTCACAGTAGGACACTGGCAGACTTGCATAACAGACATTAGACAAATTATTTATTCTTAAAGATACACTACAAGATTTGTGTTTTGACCACTGCAACCTATAAATCCCCAGAATTTCCTCCAAGCATAGTGCACATGGGTTCAAAAGCATCAACAGTGGTCAGCAAAAAAAAAAGGGAAGAGGAACAGAAAAATGGAGAGGCCATATTTGGAACTATACAGCAACTAAGTCAGTCAGGGAGTCTAGTCAAGTTAAGTGCTGATATTTTTGTAAGTGGTGCAAAGATTTGTTTCATTTTTGTTTTGATACAAAGTCGTGTTTATCGGATGTGATTGGGTTTAATGAGCCAGTTCTGTACTTGATGAAGTAAAAGATGGCTTTACAGTTTTTGCCT